GCGTCACGCCGATGATTGGCTGGGACGGCCGGAGCATCATCCCCGGGGCCTTGATGGCATCAAAGGCTGCGGGGGAAAGGATGTTAAGGGCTGCTCCTCCATCAATGAGGACACGCCCCAACTTCACGTTGCAAATGGTGGGAGAAACCACCATCGCAATCTGCCCTCCCCAGGCAACACACGGCGGGTGGTCGGTCTGGTCAAAAGTGAGGGCAACTTCCGACCACCGCGCCCGGCGCGTCGCCTCATGAGTAGGGGCCGCGGCCAGAAGCTCTCGCTTCATAGCCTTGAGGCTCCGGCGAGAAACGTGAGCACACGCTCCTCCATCGACGGTGGCAATGGTGGCCCCAGGCTCTTGGAAACCTAGGTCATCATCGCCATCATCGATGTCCTCGGCGGGGGCCTTCTGCCTGGCCTCACTTCGCCGACGGCCGGAAGGAACCGCCGGGGACTTGCCTTCCCGGCGCTCCTGCCTCCTCTCCTCCTCCCACTTCCTTGTCCGCTCTGCCAAGCTTTTGACTGCACGACAGTCCGCAAGGTCATGGAGGGAGGTGTTGTGGACGGTGCACCACTTGCCGGTAGGGCGCTCCCTGCTGGGAACGCTGGCCTCCTTCTTTTTGTCGCTCGCAGGCCTCCCCTTTCGGGTGGCCCGCGAAGCGCCCTCGACGGCGAGGACATGACCCTCGTTGTCGGAATGGACTGACCTCTTCTTCCTCCTCCTGTCACGCCGCCCTGCCTGAGCGGCGGATCCGGGGGCGGCCGAAGCTGCCACACCGGAACCGGAGGGGTTCCAAGTCCAGGCCTCCTCCTTGCGAGCCACTCGGTCCGCGAGCTGAAAAAGCTCTGCGGTAGTCTGGGGCTCTTTTGAGGCGATCTTTTCGAGCATACGGTTGTGCCGCACGCCCCCCCTGAACGCGTAGATTACCGCGTGTGCAGGGATGCATGGTATGGTATTGCGGACTTGACAGAACCGCTGAATGTACGATCGAAGCGACTCATCGTCCCTTCGCTGTACGGCGTGCAAGTCCGCTTCCTCACCGGGGCGCGGATACGTGCCTTGGAAGTTCATGGTGAACTGCTGGCACAAATCCTCCCAGGAGTGGACAGACGCGGGTGGCAAGTTCATTAGCCAACCCCGCGCTTGCCCCTTCAGGGCCATGGGAAAGAAATTCGCCATGACCCTGTCGTCACCCCCGGCGGCCTCAATCCCGGTCGTGTAGACCTGGAGAAACTCGGCGGGGTTGACGCTGCCATCATATTTTTCGGCGATGGTGGGCCGGAACCTTGGGGGCCAACGGACATTCCGAAGACTCGCCACAAAGGCTCTACAGCCGACACCACCAACCGGGGGCACGGAGGGCTGACTCCCACGTCCGTGTCGAGGTGACACTCTGGACGAGGAAGCGCCCTCCGTTGCGTGGGCAGCACTTCGGTCATTACGCCGGCGCTCGATGCTGGCGCGGGCGTCCTGCTCCCCATGCAGATCTACCCGGGTCGAAGGAGTCGACGAAGGAGTGGAAGCCGAACGGCGAACAGAGGCTGCCGCTCGTCGTGCCCTCCGTCTTGACGACGCGGAGCCGGTGGTAGCAGCACCAGAGGCCTTGGTGGCGGAGGACCGCCCACCAGCATCTAGGCGCTGCCGTGCCGTCATGACCAATTTGGCCACATCGTCAAGCCATCGTTGGGCTGGAGACTCCGGGTCAGGGACGACAGGCGGGTGGCGTAAGAGCGCGCCCGCAGCTTGGAGCGCGCCCTGGGGCGTGCTGCCGTCGCCGTAGACGAGGAGGCGACGGTCCCCATCTCGCCGTTCTCCTCCATCGCCCGCGATCGGTGAAGCCGCGGATCTTTCGACCCTTTCGAGCGCCTCCCCCTGCTTAGGACTTTGGCGTGGAGGGGGCGGTGGAGTACGAGCTCGACGGCGTGGGTTCGGCTCCCCGTCGTCGCCACTCACACTGGGAGAGAGGTCGGGCGCCTTTGCTTGCTCAGCCATGAGGCTGATCAAGAAAAATTTGACGCACACGGAAAAGTGCGAGAGCTCAGAAAACACGCTGAGCCCCCTACCTGGCGCGCCAGATGACGGAGCGCGGTGCTCCTCACCGGGAGACCGCACAGGCCCCCCTTTGCCGGTTCGGCCGGGGGCTCAGGGTGAGATCTCAAGCTCTCCGTGTATGTGGGAAGATCGCGACCTCTCAAAAGAGCATGAAACACAAGCGATGTATACAGGTTCAGGCCGCTGAGAAGCGTAATACCCTACTCCTGTGTTTTGGTGGATCTGTGTATGAAGGAGCTACAAAGTGTGAGCCAACCTCTCCCTCGTTCTAGGTTCTGAATCTGGAAAAGATCATCCCCCTTCTCTATGGGCCAGGTCCTCCTTTTATACTTCAAGGGGATACCACATGCACCCCTCCCTTTCCAAACTGGACTTTTCTTCTCTTCATAAATGGACGGAGATTTGCACGGTCGTCCTCCGAACATCCTCCTGACGGGACGGCACACACCTACCTCCACTTCTGCCTGAGACGGGCACGTCGTGGGAAGGTGGCTGTGTGCTGACGACATGAGCAGTGTCAGACCGGTCACAAATCGGTCATTCTTGTCCACCACGCGTCGGCTTAGCAACGTGCATGTTTGCCCTTCTTCAAACAACATCTTGCTTGTAATGGTTAGGATGAAGCCTGGCATATATCGATCGGGGCTAACGTGTCATCTCTGGGATGTAACACGCTAGCTCCAGCCGGGGACGAGTGCCTAGAAGCTCTCGTCTTGACGGGATGGGGCGAAGCGTGCGTCAGACCGCCTGTCGCCACCTAACCCGCGATTTGACCGGTCTGTGACTGGTCACAGACCGGATAATCGAGTGCACTGCACTGCACTTCGTGCGGCGTGACACGCTTAACCGAGGCACAATAAATGCGGTTAGGTGAGCCCCGCTGTGCTCACCTAACCCATACACGTGGAGTAGAAACGCGAGGGGTCGGGGCGCCTCGGCCCTCGGGGGCGAGGCAGGAGTGGTCCGACCCCCCCCCCCCCCTCGGGGAGACCAAGAGGTGGGCGCACACATCACCCTCGGGCCCGACGTCCCCCGAGGGTGCCAGGCCACGTGGGCGATGGTGTCTGCCTCAAGCCTCTAGTCATGATACTCCCGGTCCCATGTCACCGACATCATCGATTATCGGTTCAAGGAACACATCGATATCGTTGCCAGGTTGTCTCGGTCCTTGAATGAGCATGGCAAGCATAATATATTTTCTTTTGAAACATAACCAGGGAGGAAGGTTATAGTTAACAAGCAGAACTGGCCATGTACTGTGACGACTGCTCAAATCACTAAATGGATTAATGCCGTCCGTACACATTGCGAAACGCATGTTTCTTGGGTCATTTGAGAATTCCTGGTAAATCCTATCGATTGTCCTCCACTGTACTGAATCTGCTGGGTGCCTCAGCATACTATCGACTTTCTGTTCTTCGGCATGCCAGCGCACTAGCTTAGCTTGTTCCTTATTCGCAAACATTCTCTTCATGCGCTCCACAATTGGGAGATACCACACCACCTTTGCTGGGCCTCCCCTCTTTGACTTACTTCCTTCACCTTTACTTTTTGCTCGTTTGTATCTTGCTGCCCCACAGACAGGGCAGACATCCAAGTCAGCGTATTCCTTGTAATACAATATGCAGTCGTTCGGACATGCATGAATTCTTCTGACCTCCAGGCCCAACGGACATAATACTTGCTTCGCTTCATATGTCGTCTGCGGTAAATTGTTCCCCTCTGGCAACAGGTCCTTCAACAGCTCAAGAAGTTCTGTAAAACTCTTGTCCGACCAGCCATTACTAGCCTTAAGCTTCATGAGTTCCAACATGCATGACAACTTGCTATGCTTCGACTTGCATCCATCATACAAGGGCATCTAACAATCTTCCACCAACTTACTAAACTTCTCAAAATCTCTATCGTTGTCCTCTGCGTCTTTAATGTCATGCAACATTGTAGATAGACATTGAGTGTCCAAATTTATGGTCTCTCCACCTAAAGGAGAAGGTACGAACATGCCTTCTCGAGCTGTGGCGCCGGCGGTGTTCTCTACATCCTGATCCAACACTTCTTCTGCTGCGACATCAGGCCCCTCTTGCTCTCCATGCTTGGTCCAACAGGTATATTTCTTCATGAATCCATTCATTATCAAATGAGCATGCACTTCATCGCTATCTTCGATCATCTGTTCATTCTTACAGTCCCTACATGGACACAACATGTGCATGCTCATCCTACTTTTTCTGTCATTATCCGCAAATGTGACAAATTCAATGACCCCCTCTCTATACTCGGTAGACGAACGATGCACATAGTACATCCATCTACGATCCATCTGAAATCAACAACATACGAAGAAAAATATATGATGATCGATATATTGAGAAGGAATGGAGAATAATGTGTTTTTTACCTTGAATTTTAGCAAAAAATCGCCCCCTTGCCCTCCCAACCGATTTGTGAACAGTGAACTGGTCGGGATGGAAAGCAGTTGGCGGTTTGGGGGTATTTATAGACCCAACACACCTCAAACGGGTTAGATTAAAAAAGCCCGTCAAAGGTGTTGGTCATACCTTTGACGGGCTTCAATTGAGTTGCCCGTCACTGGTATCCCCTCACCTGTGACGGGTTTTCCTTTCGGCCCGTCACAGGTGAGGGGATACCTGTGACGGGCCGCGGCCGGATGTCTCACCGATGACGGCATCCCGTATGACCCGTCAAAGGTGATGGTCACCAGTGACCAAATCGTTTGCCCGTCACAGGTATCCCGTCAGAGGTGTGAGGATCTGGCGTAGTGCATGATGATTCCTGTGACAATGTACTTAGAAATACTACTTCCCCCGTTTCATATATAAAACGGAGGGAGTAGCAACCTTCATTACACTTTGTACTAGTAATAAGTACAAAGAAATATTGTTACAAACCAAAGTTACCTCGTTGATTAACATTTGGCCGCGCACCAATCCTAAATTCCTAACCCAAACTCGTTATCAGTTTTCACTATGCCACGTGGAACACAACAGGTGAACAACGGGTACACGGCCACACGGGGATCAGTGGCACCCCACACCACCGGAGCAAACTGCACGCCATCTCCTGACGACGACGACGACGTCGACGTCGCCGCCGCGGTGCCCGACTCCGAAGGCGGCGGCGGCGCCAGCGCAGGCGAGGACGCGCTCCGCCGCATCCCCTGGCCGGTGCGGGTGACGCTGACACCTGCCGGCGAAGTCGCAGCCGCCGTGTCGATGTCCATATCCTCCTCCTCCTCCGCCAGTGCGGGTAACGCGCCCTGATGCTTGGCGACGTCGACCAACGACGGCGACGACGCGCTGCGACGACGGAGCGGCGGCGCGGCCGGGGCGTCGTCGGCGGCGAAGAGGAACACGCGGATGCGGCCTTGCTTGGGCTTGCTGGAGGTGGCCATCACCGCCTCGTGGAAGAAAAGCAGCGACACGAGGCTCCACAGGTCGCCGTCGCTCTCCACGTCGTGGAGGTGGAGGCCCTCCTCTCCCGGGAGCGCGTACCGGATGCGGACGTCGTCGGAGCCGGAGAAGCCGGCGAGCGCCGCCAGCCGCGTCCGGAGGCTGGCGAGGCGCTCCGACAGGCCGACCCTGACGATCCGGTGAACTCCCCCGGCGTAGTAGCACGATGCCGCCGCTGATCCGCCGCGCTGCTTCTGGATGATCTCCCCGCCGTAGCTCACCTTCATCCTCACGGCGGTGCCCGAGTCCGACGTCGCCAGCGACGGTGAAGACGCGCTGCGTGGCAACCCCAGTGTGACGGCACCACCAGACACCGCCGTCGTGGCGTCCTCCTCCACCAGCGCCGGTAACGACGACGGCGCCGACGCGCTCCGGAGCAGCGGCGCCTCGACGGCGAACAGGAAGACCCGGACGCGGCCGGTCTTGGACGCGTCGTGGCAGAACAGCAGCGACACGAGGCCCCACAGGTCGCCGTCGTTCGCCACGTCGCGGAGGCGGCCGAGGCCCTCTCCGGGTAGCGCGTAGCGAATGCACACGTCACGGCAGCCGGCGAGCGCCGCCATCCTCTGTCTGAGTTCGGCCAGCCGCTCGGATAGGCCGACCTTGACGATGCGGTGGACACCCCCGGCGTAGCACGGTGCCGCCGCCTTGCCGTCTGGCCCGTGATCGCCCTGGACGATCTCGCCGCCGTAGCTGACCATCATCCTCACCGAGGAGCCGTACTCGCCGGTGAAAGGCCGGTTCAGTTTTATCTCAAGCGCGGCGACTCCGACTCCGATTCCGAATTGGAGTCGGACTCCTCCGATGCCCATTAACAAAACTGGAAAGGATCGGAAGGACACTCAGCTCGTACGTACGAACAGCGACGTGGGCCGTGCTCCATTGCTGCATGTACGGCTATTGTGCGTTTCTGCCCGTGATTTCGCCGCCGGCGAAGCGGGAGGACGAAACGGCGCCACCGAGTGCGGCGGAGCTAGCTCGGCGCGGCTTGGTCCGGCAACCACGAGTGAGGAAGACGATGCACAATAGCCGGATGATGTGAATCGCTGGATGCTGATCGGAGGGCTGAGGGGACGGTCGGTTCTCCCTTGGCAGATCATTTCCCCTCTCTAATCGTGTTGCAGCCTTGCAGGAGATTGGTTGATTCATTAAGGCAAATCATGAAAATTACTTGTGTTGCATGAGATGGATTCAGAAACACTAAGTCAAGCTTCATCCTGTTTCTGTCTGTCGGAAACAGCCAATAGGGCATTGACAAGGATTGATAAACAATGAGTAAATCTTAAAGATAACATAAGTGCTAAGAGTTTAAATTCTAAATGTATAGTTGTCATAACATCTATATTAAATCTGTATTAATGTTAATGTTAAGCATATAGTTTAACAATACTATATCTTAAATCTGTAATTTTATGATAGTTCGATAGTATATGTAGTTTTGTGAAATTCACTCGTACACGATTAATCCATTAAGCTGAAACAATCAATTACTTTACCATTGATGAACTTAATTTGGAGACACACTTATGCAAACATGGTACGGTCTAGTGCAAGCTCCACCGGGGAGGCACTCATCGTTTTGGTGCCTAGTTTTTTTTTTTTAAGATAATGGATCGATAACCTGGCCTCTACATCCAAATTTTGGTGCCTACTTGAAATAGTCTACTTGAACTACCTCCGTCCCATATTACTTGTTGATTTAAGTTTTTTTTTAAAAAAATTTAATCATTCGTCTTATTAAATTTTTTAAAATTATTATTTATTTTATTTGTGACTTGCTTTATTATGAAAAGTACTTTAAGTATTACTTATCCTTTTTTATATTTACATAAATTTTTTAAATAAAACGAATGATCAAACATTGTAAGAAAAAAAATGAAAGCGACAACTATTGTGGGACGGAGGTAGCATCTCTTTACAATCTGAATCAAACAACCAAATACTACTTTTTACATAAAAGAGTTTTTGTCCGATAATAAATGAACACAATAATAACCAGATTGTCCGATAATAATTTTCTAATGTGCAGTAAGGCTTAGCAAAATGTAGAAAAATAAATACTAAACCCAAATAGCACCAGACTAACAGTTTCAACAATCATATCTGAACTCAGAATTCAAATTTATTCAATATTCATTCTTTTAACGCCTAATCTCTAAACTAATATTTGCTGGCCAATTTAGGTTTTTCAGTTCAAATTTAATTTCTTGAGTTCCTAACTCCAAACGGCAATAAGAAAAGGAAAAAGGAAAAGAAATAAAAATTCCTAACTCCAAGCAGCTAGCAGCAGGGGTGAAAACGGTACGGAAACTTTCCGGATTCCGGACCTATTTTCGAAAACGGAATCTGTCGGTCGGAATTTTTTCGGAAATTTTCGGAAACGGAAACGAATTCGGAAATATTTTCTTGGAAACAGAATTGGAAATGATAAGGGCAGTTTCCATCGGAACTCGGAATCGGTCGGAAACTTTCCGGAAATTTTCTTGGAATTTCCGGAAATTTCCTCGGAATTACCAGAAATTTTGTGACTGAAATACCCTTGATTCTTTTTTTAAGAACTAAATAGTGAATACCATGGTGTTTTGCTGTTATTTTTTTAAAAAATATTTGTTATGCAAATATAAAATTACATAAGAATATTTTTTGTGCTATACTGGGATTTATCAACAACATTACTCTTTTAAACATAGATAATTTATTCAATTGGATTTATCAGTTTCAGGGGTTTTTTATTCCGATAAATTTTCGTTACCGTATTCGCGCCGGTTCGTTTTCGCTCCGTTTTCGATTTCGATAATATTCGATTCCGTTTTCGTATCTGGAGTTTCCGATTCCGATTTCGATTCCGAAAAAAATATGAAAACAAAAGATGGTTTCCGTCCCGTTTTCACCCCTAGCTAGCAGCATACATGAATCGAGGCCACCACCGTTTCTTATTCGTATAGTCTGCACTCAATTTAAGCTCAAAACTAATACATGACCACCTCTAGATTTTGTATTTTCAAAACAGGTTTTGTTGTCTAGAAGTTGACAACAATACATGGCCAGCTGTATAAGATATGCATGATTTTGCAGATTACACACATAATTAACATGGTCAAATAAACCATTTCTGGATAACCTCGTGGTTTTCGTGGTAACCGCAATACCGCTGGGTTTCGGTAATCTCTACCAAAACAATAGGGGAAACCCTGATGGGATCCTCCTTTTTTCATCTAAAGCTAGCAATGCACATGCATCAACAATTCAACCTTCAGTAAAAAACAAGCATATTTTACCTCATGTTTCCTGTCAACATATTTCACTTCAGGAAGCTTGCAAAGCATGAGTAACAAAATCAAATTCCCCTCCCAATCAACAAGAATCAACATTTCATTCAATTTCTACATGAACAGCAGCAGCAACAACCACATTCAAATGCAATGACCATTGAGGGAAAAAAAATTACCACATCGAATACAATGAACCAAGGAACTCATCATATGAACATAACTCGTGATTGGATATATTTTCATGGCAGGAGTAACTCATCCTGAGATGGGCATGGGCATTGTAGGCTGAGCACTATTCCTTGAAGGACATGACGGTCTCGAACGCGCCTACCAGAGCCTTCACCCTGCTCTTCCTCTCCTCAAGGAGTTTGCTTTTGGTTTCCTCAATCACATCGTTGCTCTTCGGTTCATCTTTTCTCCAAACCTTGTCCACTTTCGCTCTCGCCTCTTCCTTCTCTGCAAGCTGGGATTGATCATCAGCCTTGACAATGCCTGTTATGTTCTTTGCAATGTCATCAGCACCTTGGCCTCCATTATGCAGCTCATTGCCTACCACAACATCTTTATCTTCAGAGAAGCTCTCCTTAACTTCTTCATTCTTGCTTTGTTGCTCTGGAATGTCAGACGATGGTGCCTGCTGACCATATAGAGCTGAATCAGAAGCAGACATGTCCAAGGGTTTCAGATCAACCGGATCGGGAAGCTGCTCGTGTAAGTGGTCTTCAATGGACGGGGTACTGATGCTCTCAGATTCCTCGAATTGCATTGATGGTTCATCTTCCTTCTCCTCCTTGGAGGTTGCAGATGCCGCCATTGCCCTCTGAGGAGCACCACTTCTTGCCTTTGAGCTTGCACTACCACCATTTGCAGATTCTGCTCTTTTCTTTGCAGCGATGTTGCCCGGTACACGTGATGACGACACTACTGTAGTCCTTCCACCTCTTGCAGTCACTGAAGCCGGCGATCTCTGGGTGATCGGCTTCAGAGATGCCACCGCCTTGTCAGGGCTAGGCCTTGGAGACAGTTTGCTCTTCTGCAAGGTGGATGGCGCTTTCGAAGACGCTGATGGTGCTGTCCTGGCCATGTCCTTGAGCGAATTGCTCGCTGGCGGTGCCAGCGCTGGAGGCCGTGGCGAGGCTGCGGCGGCGGTGGTGGCCCTTTCAGACTTCACTCTGGCGAGAGTGGGCTTTGGGAATGGCTGGGTTCTGCTGCTGCCGGACACAGACCGTGCCGAGGTGGACCGGCCAGCGGCAGACAGCGACGGCCTGTAAACGTCCGGGGAGCCGGAGGCGGCCGCTGGTGCCGCCGCCGCCGCGCCAAACTTGCGGTCCGGCGAGCTCGGGACCGACCGGGCCCTCCGCGGGCCATAGCCGGCGGCAGAGGAGGCCTCAATGCCTGACGATCGCTTGAGGTTCGGCGACATCCTGGCAGCCCTGTCCCTGCTCGGAGGATCCTTCTTGGACGTCGCCATTGCTGCTGCCTCTCCTCCGCCGCCGCCGCCGCCGCCTGCTGGATCAGAGCTGCACAAGAAGCAACACAAAAGCTAAATCAAGAACAGAAAACACATGAACAGATCAGGCAGATCTTGGCAAAGAATCGCAAGAACACCTGAGTGAAGAAAAAAAGAAGGATAAGAAATCCCAAATTGCGAGCCCCAATAGTTCCCCCCAAAAGGCCGACGCACTGAAGAATAAAAATTATCCAAATGTTGGTGAGACATCCAAATCGGCGGCTCCATCGAGAAACAAAAGAGACGAAAAAAGAATCATATCGGCAACGAATTTCGCAGTTAAAAATGGTGGTGGCGCAGGCTCCAACAACCAGCCCCTGATTCTTTCTTCCCCCTTCTTGTTTTTTTTTTTCCTTAATCCGTACGAACATCGCAACAAATATTCCGCAGCGATACCCATAAACAATTGCCAATTCTAGATTCTAGAGACAAAATTGGGAAGAAAATTCAACGGAAGAATCAAATCAATCAAGAACAAAACAAACAACCAACCCATCTGAGGGTACCTGACACTCTGGCTCCGACCGTACGAGAAGGGAAGAAATGGGCGGCGTTAATGGCGAGCAGAATGTCCCCCAAGAAAAACACACCAAACAAAACCCAACCCAACGAATCCGCGTGCATCAAAAGCGAAATTTAAGGGCGCCCGCCCGTCGGGTTCCATCTCAACATCACGCGGGCGTACGGGCCATAGTTACTCTCCCCCCTCCCCACACGAAGAAGAGCGCAAGCAACAATTGCCATCAAGAAACGCATGTACGCAAAACAGCAGCAACAAGAAGACGAATCGGCGCGCCATTGACGGCGGCAAGAACCGCCCGCCCGCACGCACGCACGAACGCAGAACGGCAGGAGGGAGGGAGGGAGGGTAAGCGCCATACCTGGGAGCGGGGCAGTGGGGGAGGGGAGGGCAACGGCCGGTCGGGCGATCTGGGCGGGGGGAGGGGGACGAGACGACGCTCCGGCCGGGGCCAGATGCGGGGGGCGGAGGAGGAAGATGAAGGAGAAGGAGAGGAGAGGAAAGGTGGCCACGTTTTTTATGCGGGGGAGCGATTTGGACGGTAGCCGTCCCTCCGCGCAACGGCTTGGTTTTGCGTTTCGTTTCGTTTCGTTTCTCGTCCCAGTTTAGGTTAGGACGCGAGACGACACGAGACGGGGACGGGCGCGCAACGGGCGGCAGCAGCGCTACAGCACAACAGGAAGCGCAACAGCGACGGGCTCACGGGGCATATCATAGGAGGCCATTCCCAAACCTGACACTAACATAGTTTCATAAGCTCCACGTCATTAGGAAGCTAGAACTAGACACTACTATTCTAATACAAACACTACTAATCCATACTTCAATTAATACTACTTATTTCACATGATGTCTTGAATATTGTGTAGAAACCATGTCTTTCCTTATCTTTTCTCATTTATTCATTTGCCACATCATTTTTCATCCTAGGTGGCAGCTTATTTAATGCTATGGACACTATCCTAATCATTGGGTTGGGAATAGCCTGATGGGCTGTGTTGATGCTGCAGTGATGCTACATGTCGTGTGAAACTGTTATCTCGTTGTTTGTTCTTATGAAAAGATTTTCTCATATTACTCGTCGCTTTGACTTTTTTCCTTTAACGTTGGACCATTCATTTTATTTATAAAAACTAGTGCAAATATAAAAAACGATAAGTAGTACTTAAAATACTTTTGATAATAAAGCAAGTCACAAACAAAATAAATAATAATTTCAAAATTTTTTAATAAAACGAATGATCATATATTACAAACAAAAACTCAAAACGACAAATAATATGGAACGGAGGTAGTAGAAAAAAAAGATTAATACATGATATATCACTTCATAATCATATAAGTTTCAATTTAATTTTTACATAATGCAACGAAAAAACAAATTTGACTGCAACTACAAAAGTTAAATTTTTACTCCCATGTTTGTGAGGTATTATATTAGATGTTGATACATCTTCTTAATTTTTTTTAAAAAAATATAGTTATTTAAGTAACATACAACGATACAAACAACGAGCTGAAATCCACATAAGAGTTTAAAATCCACTTTCCATATTGTGGTGGTGTTGTCTAGTTGTCTTGCCTTATCTGCATGCATGCATGCATGGTCCGCGGGCGTGTTGCCACGGTGTTTGATTGATGGTGCTCTATTTTTGTCTCTCTATCTCTCTTTTTTTTCCTATGGGAGGAAAGTGTGGGAGGATGGTTGATTTGGAGGGGGATGGAACAGGTGGAGATATATAGTGCAAATAATAAAGTTCTGTGTCATATTTTAATTAAAATAAGTGATTCTTTAGTATTCAAATTTGAAGAAAAAAACTACTTATTCCATTTAAATTTATTTCCATTTTGTTATCCTCAATCATCTTCTAACTTCAAGTTGTCCCTAATTTAATGAAGGATAACTATGTCGTTTTCCTCTCTCAAATTTGGCTTTTAAATTCTAGAAGGAGCACTTATTTTAGGATGGGGAGTTAAAAAAAAAGTAAAAATCCTGGTTTTGTATTGACCCGTAATCTTTTAAATTGCGAATTTAGAGCCTTAATTCTGGTAAATGTACCGTCAGAGGTCCAAATTAGCCACACGCACATCATGGATCTGACGTGGTATGCCACATGTAGCCAATTGCAAGGGTCATCCATGTGTCCTGTTCACAGAGAAAACTAGGTGGTTCTCTACGCTTTGCTGCGGGAATTACTAAGAAATTCTCAATATTTTTTTTGTCAATCAAGATAGGAGTACAAAGAGAAAAAAAAGAAACATCAGGGTTTATCAGTCAAATGATACTCGTGCTTTAGTGTGAAATGTATTGATAAGTATATGTTAAATATTGTAAAAGTGATAGATAGATTTGTTAAAATATTGTGCAAATGATATGGGGGTGATGATTGAATATGCTTGCATTTTGATTTGTATAATTAAATAAATTGTAGATCATGTTGTATGCTTGCATGAGATTAAATATGTAATTATTGCTAGTGGGTGATGATGTGGTATGGTTGCATGTTGCGATTTAAATTTAGTGAGCTTTAACTTTATAGAAAGCATAGATTGATAACGATTATGAAGCGTGGAACTCCTATGGTGAGGAGATTGCGTGTTGATTAGCCACAAAACCGGTAACAAGATTACATGAGGATTATACCTGGGAGGAATATTATGGAGGGTGTTGTTATTCTTCATGAAACGATACATGAATTGCACCAAAAAAAGAGTGGTGTACTTTTTAAGATTAATTTTGAGAAAGCCTATGATAATGTAAAATGGTCCTTTGTTCAACAAACTTTGAGAATGAAGAGTTTCTCACAAAAATGGTGTGATTGGATTGCGTCTTTTATCCAAGGTGGATATGTTGGCATTAAAGTGAATGACCAAGTGGGATCAAATTTTCAAACATATAAGGGTTTAAGGCAATGGGACCCGCTATCTCCAATTCTTTTTAATATAGTTGTTGATATGTTAGCTATATTAATAAAGAGAGCAAAAGATGATGGTCAAATTTCTGGAGTGGTCCCACATCTGGGTGATGATGGATTATCTATCTTACAATACGCTGATGATACTATCATTTTTTTAGAGCATGATTTACAGAAAGCTAAAAATATGAATTGATTTTAACTGTTTTTGAAAAATTATCTGGCTTGAAGATAAATTTTCACAAGAGTGAATTATTTTGCTTTGGCCAATCAAAGGAATGTCATGAGCAATATTCAAATATTTTTGGGTGCAGAGATTTTCTTGTTAGATATTTTGGCATTCCTATGCATTTTAGAAAGCTTAGTAATAAAGATGGGTCAAAGAATTGATAAAAAACTTAGTAGTTGGAAGGGTAAGCATATGTCTGTAGGTAGGGGTGGGCAGAAAAAGACCGAACCGAAAAAACCGAGACCGAGAAATTCGGTCCTAGGAGGTGAAAGACTGAATTTTGTTCGGTCAATTCGGTTAGTTTCCTCAGTTAACCGAATAGACTGAAAAGACCAAATTAACAAAAAATTTCTAAATACAACCTACAATCCAGTAAGTTCAATAGGATTAAACTCTAATTTTCACATCCCTACTTCTTCTAGGCATGCAACCTAATAAGAGTCTTTACTCATACGTGCTTACGAATTTTTTTTTGTGATTTTTGTGTTGAAAATTTCCATTATTTCTTTGCATATATGAAAATGTTGCTGAATTTTGGTCAGACCGAGACCGAGACCGAAACGACCGAAACTGAATTTGTCGGTCCTAACATTTTTGCGTTGAAATTCGGTCTGAACTTTTCAAAGACCGAAATAACCAAAAGACCAAAGATCGAGACCCAAAAATTTCGGTTAGACCGAATGCCCACCCCTATCTATAGGTGGGAGATTGGTTTTGATTAACTCTATGTTATCAAGTTTAGTTATGTTTATGATTTTGTTTTTTTGAGATTCCTAAAGGGGTTCTTCAAAAAATTAATTATTATAGATCCTGTTTCTTTTGGCAAGGTGATGAACATAAAAAGAAATATAGATTGACATGATGGGATATTATTTGTTAGCCTAAAAATCAAGGGGGACTTGGTGTTTATAATTTAGAAATCCAAAACCAGTGTTTACTTAGTAAGTGGCTGTTTAAATTAATAAATGAACAAGGTGTGTGGCAAGATTTTTTGAAAAGGAAATATCTTGGTACTAAATCTATAACTCCAGTTGAGAGGAAACAAGGGGATTCCCATTTTTTGTCAGGATTGATGAAAGTTAAAAATTATTTTCTAAATATGGGTTCCTGGTTTATTAACAATGGTGAAGTTAGATTCTGGGAGGATAAGTGGTTAGGTAATTCATCTTTAAAGGACAAATACCCATCATTATATTCCATAATAAGAAGGAAAAACTCCTCAGTTGCAAGTGTTATGCGTACTGTTCTACTTAATGTCTCTTTTAGGAGAGCATTAGTTGGTCAGAACTTGATTAGATGGCACAATTTGTGCGCTTCAATTGTGCATGTTAACTTAACAGAGGAGGCTGATATATTTGGATGGAATCTTCATCAAAGTGGTCAATTTCCAGTTCGATCTATGTCTTTGGCTCTAATTAATAATGGGTATATCGAGAGAAATAAGTTTATTTGGAAACTTAAGATGCCTCTTAAGATTAAGATTTTTATGTAGTATCTCCTTAAGGGAATTTGACTCGGAGGAATTGAAACGGTAGTTTGAAATGTTGTTTTTGTATGAAAAATGAATCGATTTACCATCTTTTCCTAGATTGCCATTTTGCCAGATTTCTTTGGAGATCTATATAATTCGCGTTTGGATTATACCCTCCACATAGTATATCTCATATGTTTGGGAATTGGCTTGTGGGTGTTAATAAAAAGAAGGAGCTTATTCTTATTGGAGCTTCTGCTATATGTTGGGCTCTCTGACTTAGTAGAAATAAAATGATTTATGATAAATCACCTTCAAAATCTTATTTGCAGGTTCTTTTTAGGGC